TATTCTATAGCAGTTAAGTGCTAAAGTAAGAATAACTGAAAGCTGTCACCATGTAAGAACTACCAGTTAAAACATGAACAACTTCAAATTAAAATGAACTTTAATGAAGGTTAAAATTTTAAAATGAACTGAGCTGAAGTACTGTATTTCCAACTCAAAGTAGTAATAATTGTGCTTGATTACTGAGGTGTACTCAAGGAATGGTCATAAAAGGAAATATTAAACCTTGTTATTCATCCAGCAATTTTCCTATAATTTATTATTATTCAAATCTTAATTTTTGCTGACAGGTAAACAAACAAGTAATTATGTTCATATTAATCAGGTGTTCCAGTTAAAGAAACATAACTTTATGACTTTGAACTTCCTGGTATTCATGTCCTTGGGTTGTGTCTTCTCACACTGGATATGGGCTTGCTGCATGTGGCTCATCTTGGCCTACAGGATATTAGCAAGTCTGATACAGTATAGGCTTAGTAAGAGCATCCATGTTGGGGCTTATAAATCTCCCTCTTGGAAGCAAACTTCCATGGTGTAAAGAAACTTGGGTAGCGGACTGAAAGATAAGAAGTCATGTAAATACCCTGGAGAATAAGAGGCCATATTGGATATTCCTATCCATTTGAACATCCAGCTGAATGCAGCTGCATGAATGACCTCAGCTATATCATTTGAAGCAGAGCTGCCCAGCTCAATCTAGTGAAGCCATAGAATCATGAAAAATGATAAATTTGGGGAGCAGTCTTTTTTTTTTTTTATAGAGACGGAGTCTAGCTCTATCACCAGGCTGGAGTGCAGTGGCGTGATCTCAGCTCCCTGCAACCTCCACCTCCCTTGTTCAAGCAATTCTCCTGCCTCAGTCTCCCGAGTAGCTGGGACTACAGGTGCACGCCACTACGCCCAGCTAATTTTTGTGTATTTTAGTAGAGACAGGGTTTCACCGTGTTGGCCAGGGTGGTCTTGATCTCTTGACCTCGTGATCCGCCCGCCTCGGCCTCCCAAAGTGCTGGGATTACAGGCATGAGCAGCTGGGGTAGCAGTCTTTTATGCCACAATAGGCAACCAAAATAGCCTCATTAAATTATGTTACAATTCTAGTTTGGATAAAGAGTTAAAAATCAAGTCATATTCTATGAGTAATGTTATAATTGGAGCCACAATAAACTCATGACTTTAAATATTTCTCTTCTAGTTCTGTTCACTAAAATGACAAAAATAACAGTATTAACCCACTGCACTAGTCTAGTATGTCTCACAGGCACTTTGGTCTCTAATACCATGTTCTACATCCCTCTGGAAAGACGATTTATTCCATTCAGAGTGAGAAAGACACAGAGTGAGAAAGACACAAAGTGGGCTTGGAACAATCAGTTAATGTCAGAAAACAAGAAGTCTTTAGAAATATGTGGGATCCTATCAAAAGAACAAGAGAGGACAGCTCACAATAGCTTTAAATGGTCAAGGTATGAATATTTGAGCCTCAGAAAAAATTACACTTAGGTTAAATAAATTGTACGTTTTTAAAGTGCTTCAAATATATAGTGATACTAAAAGAAATCTTTTCAAATCACTAGTATTTTACTTGGATATGAAAAATTATTAAGTTTAATTTCACATATATTATCAAGAGATTAAAGTATATCCATTTAAGGGATAATATGGTCAAAAGAACAGAAAGACAGGACTTTTTTTCCCCATAAAATACTAATGGACAGGATAATGAAACTTCCTGCTACTGCCCCACAGGTTATCTCTGGACACTCACCTATTAGATGACATGCTCCGCATTACCTCAAACATTAATGAAGTGTGTCATGACATTTCATTCACAGGTTTGAGAGACCCTCCTAAATGCTACAGCCTTGGCCACTAACAGTGTAAAGTGAACTTGCATCACCAGAACCCAGTGTTATCTTTAGAATGTATTTGAAATAAAAGAAATCTGCTTTTCCTTTGAATTTACTTGGTGATAGAGTCAAACAATTGTTGCTGGTTGCTGCCTTATTATTTCCCTTGCCTTGTCTGGTTCATTAGGACAAAATCCTTCCTAAAGACAATGACAGAAGCCAGAGACTGACACATTGAGCCTTCTTATAATACCAATCTAGAAGTAAGAGCTTTTGTAATCCTAGACTAAAACCAGTGCCATTAACCCTATTTTTCCTAGTCTATACCAAGAGATGATCTAGATGATCCAATTTATTTGGGAGATATCCCAAAATTAATATTTTAATTATATTTAAAATGTTAAATTATGCAAATTTTGATTTAAATGTTAACATATTGATATTAATATACTTTAATTTTATTTTTAAAATTAGTTTGCACTCCCAGCCCATGAATATTTGATGACTTAAAATTATAAAAGGCAAATTATATAATTTTAATAGTAGTTGATATCATTTAAATATGTAACTATTAAGTTAATATTACTTTAGAAGTTACTGTGCTTTTCTTTTTTTTGAGATGAGGTCTCACTCTGTCACCCAGGCTGGAATGCAGTGGTGCCATCTCAGATCACTGTAACCTCTACCTCCTGGGCTCGGGTGATCCTCCCACCTCAGCCTCCTAAATAGCTGGGACTACAGGCGTGCCTCACCACATATGGCTAATTTTTGTATTTTTTGTAAAGACGGGGTTTTGCCATGTTGCCCAGGCTGGTCTTGAATTTCTGGGCTCAAGTAATCTGCCTGCCTTGGACTCCCGAAGTGCTGGGATTACAGGCATAAGCACTGCACCCAACCTGTATACCTTTTTTAAAGCAAAAGGAATTCTCATTAAGAAGTAAGTTGCACAGTATAAGTATATTAAAGAGGGATGATTTTAAAAATAAGAAAGTATTTAAAGCTATGGAAAAATCAGGTACAGGAAACTGAACATATAAAATTTTATACAGTAAAAAGCTGTTTATCCAGCCACATCAGGGTGTGTGTGTGTGTGTGTGTGTGTGTGTGTGTGTGTGTAAAGGAGTGCCGAATTCTGTATACCCAAGTGGCATTTATGTCTAACTGAATTTAAACAAATACTAGCAAAACTTGGATTGGGCCAATACAAGAAGTACTGAAGTTTCAACAAATGCAGTTACTTAATATACCCTTGATGTTTGTGTAATATAACCTCCAAACTGGCTAGTATCTAGAAACAATGTGTCAAAGCTGCACTTTTCATTATAAAAACCTATGTGCCTTATCTTTTGCATCTTGCCAACAATCCTTCGAATAGTGGCCATATGAAAGAATGCATAGCTGATTTACATCAAGCTCAACTATATACTTATTTTCATATACTTATTTTTAAAACAAAATTAAAATTACTTAGAGAAAAGAGAGACAGATACAGAGAAAGAGCCATGTACCACGGCCTGCTCTATATATTTCTTAATCCACTCTGTAAAAGAGAGGTAAATTACATTTTCAATGATATCTTCTATGATTACAACCTGTATATAGTTTCCTCATGTCTTATAACATCTATATATTCAACACAAAATCACCCTTTTTTTCTGAGAAGTGTTTTTTCATTTCCTACAACCCTTTTCTTTCTTCCCAAGAAGACTTAGGGAACATGGTGCAAAGAAAGAGAACAGGCCATGAAATTATGGTGTTAGGCAAGAGAAAGTGCTAAGTTAAGTGGGTGTCCAGCAGCCCCCGAGTACTGTGTGACAGTGTTAAAATCACTTCAATTAAAGTCTCCATGTATGTTAGTCACTTGTGACTTGCTGATCTACAACTATCAAAATGCAGTAACTGGTGTCAGTAATAATGATCATCGGACACCAAGAAAAGACAGTAGCATCTTCATTATGTCTGGTCCTTCATGCCAAGGAAGAAAAATTTTACAAAACTTATTAAAAACAGCTACAAATTATAAGTGCTAGTATTTAAAGAGCTAACTTTAGTTTTCTGGGACACTTTAGGACTTTTCCCACTACTACTCATGATAATTTAGATTGTGTCTTATTTTGTTTTTAAATCGATTTTTAACTAAGATCTTTTAGCAATTCTGAAACACAGATTTGCATAATCAGCATGCACAATACTACTTTTTTCACACCTGTTAAATTGGATTAAGTTAAACCAAATACCAACATTACTAAATGCCACAGTTAACTAGTCAGACTAAATGGGTAAGCCTCACCTACCTGACTTAAATACTAAGTGCCTCAAGGTGCCCACATGACATTGTTCGCAAAGTCTTAGTGCCCCTGAATTTAAGTTTATTGGTTTTCAGCTTTTGGGGAGGGACAAAATTGGTTTTTGTCAAGTCGTCATAATCCTGCTTAATTAAGGCTTTGAATACCGTGTGCACATGCGTGCTCTCTGGGAATGCATCATCAGGTGAGTGTCCCAGACCACGGCCCACAATCCACACGCTCTCCAAGTTTTACTGCACGGGTCAACCTTTTTCTGCACAGGGCCAGATAGTAAATACCTCAGGCTTTGGAGGCCAGACTGTGCGGCAACCACTTCACCCCGCTGTTGCAACGCGGGAAGGCAGGCATGGGCAATACATAAAGGAATGAGCGCGGCTGTGTTCCAATAAAACTTTATTCACCAACAATGAAATGTGAACGTCATGCTTTTCCACACGTCATGAAGGAGCACATTTCATATTTACATTTGAAAATGCAAAAAGCATGCCTAGCTGGCCAGCCACTTGGCGACCTGGCCGTCGGGCGGCAGTCCGCCAAACCCCGCGCCGTCACTCGCCCACCAAAGGCGGGGGAAGGGCCGGGGGGCACAGGCAGGCCTCTGGCGAGGTGATGGGGACCCACCCGCGCGCACCGCCTGCCGGCGCCTCCCGTCAGTCTGGGCCCCGCCGCCTGAGTCGCTGCGTTCCCTGACCAGGAGAGGAGAGGGACAACCCTCGGCGTCGAGGCCAGGACCCTGGACAGGGGGAGGGAGGCGTGTAGGAACAGGGAGAAGGAAGGGCCAGGCTTCGGGGTCGCGGAGCCCGGGAGGTACCCCCAGGTCCGCCGCCGCCTCAGGCCGGTCACTCACTCGGATAAGCCCGCAGAGACGAAGGCCATAGCAACAGCGCAACTAGAAGGACTAAGGGCTCCATGGGCGTCGTCCACAGCACTCCGCCATGCGACCGGAACGTCCCGAGGCCACCAGGCTGGGAACCTCAGAGCCGAAAGGAGAGGTGTCAGCGGCGGACCGTCCTGCCTCAGGCCCTGGGACGCCCCGCAACCGTTGTGCCCAGCGCGCAAGCGCAGCGGGGTGAGGGAGAGGAGCGCGAGCTGCCAAGGCCCGCCCCCTCCTGGGGCCGCGTGCTGGAGGCTGAGGACAGCGCGCGTCCCGCCCCTTCCCAGTGCGCATGCTCGCTCCGCCTTCGTAGGTACGGGCCGAGCGCGAGCTGCCAAGGCCTGCCCCATCCTGGGGCCGCGTGCTGGAGGCTGGGACCACACGCGTCCCGCCCCTCCCCAGTGCGCATGCTCGCTCCGCCTTCATAGGTCCGGGCGAGCGCGAGCTGCCAAGGCCCGCCCCATCCTGGGGCCGCGTGCTGGAGGCTGGGACCACACGCGTCCCGCCCCTTCCCAGTGCGCATGCTCGCTCCGCCTTCGTATCCACACGCGTCCCGCCCCTTCCTAGTGCGCATGCTCGCTCCGCGGGCCGAGCGCGAGATGGGAATGTGTCGACGCCCGGCTACTGCGTGCGCCTCGAAGCCTCGGGGCGGGCGGGGCTTGGCCCATCCTGCGCGCTGGGGAGACAGCCGAGGCCAAAACGCGGTCCATGCGAGGAAAGAACTGTAATGAGAAAGGCAAATAACCTGGCAGTTATCACCGCGTGGAAGGTCTGTGGCGGGGAACGCACTACGTACTGCTGCGGACCGTAGAAAACCACGCCCTGAAAGCGGATGGGGAGCGTGGCTGAGCAGACGACAGCTTGGCGCGCTCCGAGAACTGAGCATGGTGCCGGCGAGTTGCATTGCTGGGGCTGGGAGGGCACTTGTTGCAGGCCAGCCGGGAGAGGTAGGCAAGGGCATTAAAAACACATTGAGGGGTTTGGGCGTTTTTGCTTTTCAAAAGATCACATTCCATTTCCTTGACATTCTTAAAAAGACAGGGTGGGGCGAGGAAGAGTAGGACTATGAAGGGGTAACATGAGGGGGTTTGGCGGGGGGGGGGGGGGAGGATGATGGATAGCAGTGGCCACAAGAATCCATACATGTGTTAAAATTCACAGAAGGCCTGGCACGTGTCTCAGGCCTGTAATCCCAGTACTTTGGGAGGCTCAGGCGGGCGGATCACCTGAGGTCAGGAGATGGAGACCAGCCTGGCCAACGTGGTGAAACTTCGTCACTATTAAAAATACAAAATTAGCCGGTCATGGTGGCTACTTGGGAGGCTGAGGTAGGAGGATGGCTTGAACCCGGGAGGCAGAGGTTGCAGTGAGCCAAGATCATACCACTGCATTCCAGCCTCGGCAACAGAGGGAGACTCCACCTCAAAAAAAAAAAAAAAAAAAAAATCGCAAAACTGCACATCCCAAAGAATCTGTTTTTCTGTGTGGTTATTTTTTAAAATTCACATACACTCATCTCTGCCTCAGGAAGCAAGGGTCTTGGATTTTAGTCTGAGGCAGTGGAGAGTACTGCCAGACGGTTGTGATTAGATTTGTATTCCAGAAAGCTTACTGTTCCTGTAGCATCAAGAATGGGCTGGAGGGAAACAAGATTACAGGTCGGGAGCCAAGTGAGGAGGCTGCTTCCCTAATCCAGGAATGGAATGATAGGGGCCAGGCCTCGTGGTGGCAGAGGACAGGAAACACAGGGACAGATCTGAGAGACCTTTAAAGCTGGCATCAACAAGATTAGAGAATTGATTAAATGTGGGAAAGGAGGAAGAAGGAGCCAATGCTGAAACTTCTGGCTTGAGCATCTAGATATGTAGCGGTGCCATTGATTGGAACAGAGGGTACTTGTGGGAGTGGAAGAAGTTGAGTTTCATTTTCAACATTGCTATATTGAGACGAATTTGGGACTTCCTACTGGAGTGTCTTGTCCAGCGAGCAGATGAATGTGGGACCCCGAAGAGAGCTGAGATGGAGATGGAGCATTGAGAGGCATCAGCATCTAGAAGTGGGGATGTCGATTGCCCAAGGAGAGTCTTTAGATGGAGAAGATCACTGGGCCTAAGACAGAACCCTAGGAAACATGGGCAGACTATAGAGAGGAGGATAGACCAGTGAAGGGGACCGAAAGTAGGGAGAGGAAAACCAGGAAAACCAGAAGCATCACAGAAGAGGAGGAATTCAAGACTCTTAAGTGCTTCTGAGCAAACAGTAGAAGGACTTCGATTTAGCAGCAAGATTCTTGGCAGAAGCAGTTTCAGTGGAGTGGCTTGGGCAGAAGTCAGAACACAGTGAGTTGAGAAAAGAGTAATTGGTGATGAAGTGGTGGTAGCTATTACAGACAACTTTTTCAAGTTTTTAATGTGCTCCACCAGTGCTTAATCCAGACGTAGCAGCATCCTAGAATCAAACAGTTGCAACTACAGTATGTGTTGCTTCATGATGGGGACACATTCTGAGAAATGAGTCATTGTGGGAATATCATAGAGTGTACGTACACAAACTTAGATGGTATAGCCTACCTCACACCTAGGCTATATGGGATAACCTATTGCTCTCAAGCTACAAATTTGTACAACATGTTACTGTACTGAATACTGTATACAATTGTAATACAATATTTGTTTCTAAACATATCTAGACAAAGAAAGGGTATAGTGAACAAACAGTATTAGAATCTTATGGAACAGGCCCTGACTGAGGCTGCTGCCTTTCTTTCAGAGATGCCCTGCCCAGAGAGGAGGAATCTAGAGAGGCAGTCTGGCTACAGCAGCTTTGCCGAGCTGTGGTGGGCTCCACCCAGCTCAAACTTCCATAACATTATCAGCATGAGAGCACCAGCAGCTTTGTCAGAGAAGCACTCTGGCCACCTGGGGGCAGCAGAGCCTCACCAGTGGCTGAGATGACACTTGTTACTTCAGAGCATCTCTCCAGACGTGAGTCAGAAACTGGATTTGGATTCTGTTGGAATAGATCATGTTTTGCTATTGTGTGTTTTGCTTTACGCTTGTGCATTTGGAATGCACCAAATAGCATGTAATAATGTTTAAATGATTTGATAGTAATAGCCTTTGTTCTCCAAATAAGATTTTCTTCAATGCCGGCTACCTAAAAGAATGTTAAACATCCAGTCTTTCTCTGACTGTTAAAGCTAGTCCACATGCACTTACATGACAGACAGTCCTAGGCTGAAATCAATTCATGAAATGAGACCTGGGAGCACCCAGAAGAAGCAGGCTGATCCTTGGTAATGCCCACTTTCCACACATTCTACCCCACCTGATGTAGGCAATATACATTTTTTAAAAAACTTTTATTAATTGTATTTTTTTTACTTTTATTTTGTGTTTGGGGATACATGTGCAGGTTTTTTTTTTATAGGTAAACTTGTGTCATGGGTGTTCGTTGTACACATTATTTCATTACCCAGGTACTAAGCCTAACATCTGGGCTCTGAATAGTCTCCATAGGATGTTTTGGATTTAATAAATGGATGGCAGAGGAATCCTGGAGTGTAGATGGTGATTGCTGGGAATGGGTTACAAGTGTGTAAGCCTCACAGGATTCTTAGCTCTGTCCAGGAAAATCCTCTCTCTTTCCTATTGACTCTACCAAAGTCATGTGCATCGCTGTCAAAGTCTGAGAGTGTAGCTGGGGACTTACAGAGAACTGGGACAATGATTTATTATCCTGTGGATTCATCCACCTAGGTGGATCCTGGAATTCTAAAGGAATACTCAATACAAATTTAATTTGTATTCACTTAACTTTTGTAAAATTAGTTATGTCCTCACTAAGTAGAAAGATTCTTAAGGACAGAGACCATGTCTTTTTGTGTTTATACACCAGGGACTTTTCACAGTGCCTGGCAAAGTTTGGACTCTATATTTATGTGGTGCTGAGTAATATGTGAAACTTTCTGGTGGGTGTCACCAAATCAAATACAAGATGACTTTGGGTAAGGAGAACCTTAATCTCTGGATCTCATTTTGCTTATCCCTAAAATAATAACCCTTTGTATCTGAATTATACTTAAGTCTAAACCTTATATATAGATCAAATATATTTCCTTTCACACTCACTGGGAGGGTAGGAAATATATTTCCTTTCACACTGATCATCCTGATGAGGTGAGACTACAAGACCCAGGTCTTTTGACTCTTGGTACAGCACACTCTCACTATACCTTTCTGGATTACAAGGGATAATTAGACTAGTCAGTCCCTTGGAGATGTGCTTCCAGCTTCAAAAATGGTTCTCAGTCCACACTGAGAATTAGTGCAGAAACTTTTTTAACATAACCAATAATCAAGACTGTGTGGTATTGGCAGAGGAATAGACACATACATCAATGGAACAGAATAGATTTAAAATCCAGAAATAGTTGACACAAATATGTCCAAGTGATTTTTTACAAAATGCAAAGGCAATTAAATGAAGGAAGGATTGCCTTTTCAACAAATGGTGCTGGAGCAATTGGACGTGCACAGGTAAAAACATGAACATCAGCCTAAATCTCACACTTTATATAAAAATTAACTCAAAATTAACTCACAGGTATAAATCTATAAAACTTTAAGAAAAAAATAGGAGAAAATTATTATCAGCCAAGTCCAGGTCTGTTCTGCCCGTGCACAGTAAATCGATCACAGTGACCTGGATTTGCAAAAGAGAAAAGATTTATTTACAAGGCTGCCAGGTGAGGAGGTGGGAGACCAGCTCTCAAATCTGCCTCCCCAAAGATTAGGCTTAGCAATATTTATGGGCTAGGGAAGTGGGCTGGTCTAAGCTGTGGGGAAAGGTGATTGACAATGGGGAAAAATAAACTGGCAGGTTCTGCGCAAATGTCATTTCATAGAACATATGCACAGAAAATACCAGTGTTAGCATGATCCGAGGGTGGAGTTTAGGCCCTCTAACATCAAAACACCACCTCTCCAGCAATTGCGCAAGCCCAGTCGAAGGGGAAGTGGTCTCAACCAGTTCAAACTGGACAGGAGCTGGCCCAAGTTCCTGAAAAACAACCCAAGTGACCATTACCATGGTGACCCATGAGTTATCGATAAAGGAGCCAGTGAAGGATAAATTTCAGTGTTCAGCAGCAAGGGCTTCAGCTACTGAGGCCTCCAGCTGCATAGAAAAAGGAAAGGAAAAAAAAA